AAGTATCAAAGCAACAGCTCTGTGCGCAGTCACAGCCTCTGCTCGCTGCGTGGGCTCCTGCTTCTCCACGGTTGCTCGCCAGCCCCCAGAAGGGATCTAGGGCTGAGGGAGAAGGGGGAACCAAATATATTGTAAAGAGTCTACCGGGGCAGTGCCCCACGTCCATAAACAGGGATTGCGCCTCTTTATACGCAGCACCGAATAAAGCAAGAATGCAACTTCCACAGAGCACTAGAACGGCAGGATTTAGACAATATGCCACAAGTGAACAGTATGTTCCAAACAGAAAAGCTTATTCCAGATTCATCAAGTTTTAAGGCAGAAGGGTTCATTACAGCGATCTAATCTGACCTCTTAATAGACTTCACTGAGATTGCCCTTCATCAATCTCACTAGAATGCCTTTTCTCAGACCTCAAATCATTGTACTTATTTTCTGAAGCTTTTCCAATTTTTCATTGCTTTTTTTTCTAACGTGGACACCCCAATGGAATTCCATATTCCAGTTCAGTGGGTACAAAACCAAACCAAACTTGTTAAGGCAAAGTTCAGGTTGCGTGATGGTTTGCCATTAACTTGAAGCAGGAGTTGGGCAAAACTGCTTTCTTTCATCAGTGCCTCAGTATGTCCCCCTTAACCCATCTATCTGCCAACATTACAGCCACTGAAATGCATAAGCTCTTTGCTACTTATTGCAATCACTCACTTTCCCCCATACGCTCTCTAACACTATTAAAGAACAAAAGTGAGGATGGGGGGGAGCAAAGCTGCTTTCACAATCTTCCTTCTTCCAGCAATGCTTCAAAGTGCATATAGATTTTTCTCAAATATCCAGTCCAAGGCTTGTCTCCCACCTGTCCTTATTTTACATCCTTTCCATAGCTGTTCCCCTTTCTTCCATGTCCCTTCTGCCTGTTCTGTCCACCCCAGAGTCATCTGGATCTGTCCCAAAAGATATCATACATTTTGGTTAGATCAGCTACAGCAGGGGTGGGCAAAAGCCTCTCAGCTGGCCGGATCTGGCCCAGGAGGCAATTATGAGGGGGAGGAGCTCAGCCCCACTCCTCTACCCACAAGCTGAGGCTTAGGTGCCTCAACAGGGCTGGGCCCAGAGGAGCAGCTCCGTGGCTACAGGGTCTGGGGCTACAGTAGTGGCACCTCTGGGCCAGCCCTGGGCTGCCTGGCCATGGCCGTAGCACCTCTAGGCCAGCATTGGATCACCTGGCCATGGTAGCGTCGCCTCAAGGGCTGGCCCCAGGCCGTGGTAGCAGCACCACTGGGGTTGGCAGTGCCTCTGGAGTATCCTGGGGCCATGTGGCTGAGATGCCTCTGGGGCCAGCTCCAAGCTGCGGCCCCTCGGGGCCTCCCTCTGAGGCATCCAGAATCTTGTGGCTGTAGCTGTTGCTGGAAGGGAGCACAAAGGTTTTCCCTCATGTCCATACCCCCCACCCCATCAATTACCTGCCCCTCACGACCCAGCATCCCCAGCTTGCTCTGACACCCTCTCTTGTTCTTGCACCCTCTCTCCTGGCCACATACTGCACCCTTGCTTGTTCCTGCTTCCTCCACCTGGTCAGACACCCTATTCCCAGTCTGCTTCTGCATCCCAACTCCTTCCCAGATCCTGTACCCCATCACTATCCTACTTGCTGGCAGCCCTGTCTCACACTGTACCCCTCATTCTTGTCCCTACCTCAGAGCCTAAGGAGGTTCCATAAAATCCACTAACTCCACAACCCCAGAAAAGTAAATTTGATCTATGGGAAGCCTTGAACCTCAGTTTCCCCATTTCCTTCCCCTCACCCTGTGAGGTTGGGGCACCAGAGGAGTGAGGTGTCTCAGTTGGGGCCACATCTGTGAGTGTTGGGGGTTTTTGGAGGAGTTTTTTTGCTTCTCACTTCTGTGGTCTCCAACTGATTTTTTTTTTTTGTGGGTCAGTGACCTCAGACCCAAAAAGGTTCCCCACCCCTCCCATAAATAAAGAAAACATTGAAATCTTTTGTGTTGGACATATTTTACTTTATTTAAAATGAAATTTGATAAACTAACATGAGAAAGTTAAAAATCTGTTTCATAATTTAAATTAAACAGTTCTTACTAGGTGCAGCTAGTTCAGAAAATAAAGTCACTGTACCCAGCAAAGTAGTTATCAGCCCTGCCCTTCCACCCAAGGCACCACTCCTTCCGGGTTGGCCCACGGCCACTTCCAAAATTTTTGAAGTGCCCCCCCCTCCAAAATTATTGCCCACTCTTGAGCTATAAACTATTCTGATGTGTTTGCACTAAGCCGGAACTGAGAACTTGGAGGAAGCACTATTAATTATTGCTGCATGCATATTCCAGGCTACAAAGCAGTTAACATATTCTTAAATATCATTCCCAGTTTGAGCACATCAGATATTTAGTGGGTGTCATGTGCTAACTGGGGTAAAACTCAGCTCCTCGAGGTCATTTTGACCTTCAGCACATTAACAGATTTCTAATTCTGTGAGAAAATCCCTACTTAGAAAATTTTGTGGAAACAGTTTTCCCTCCAGAATTTACATATTCACAACCCCTATCACATTATCCAAATTAATGGTGAGATAGAACTTCTGACTATGGACCAGAAAACTAAGAAAGACATAACACAACACTGACCAGTATGTTGCATAGGTCTGGCCTTATCTATCTATAAAGTCCAGTCACCCAGAGTTCAACAAATCTTTTGATATGGTCCCCCACAGTATTCTTATCAGCAAATTAAAGAAGTATGGATTGGATAAATGGACTGTACAGTGGAAAGATAGCTGGCTAGATTGTCAGGCTCAACGAGTAGCGATCAACAGCTCGATGTCTGGCTGGTGGTCCATATCAAGCAGTGTGCCCCAAGGATCGGTTCTAGGACTGGTTTTGTTCAACATCTTTATTAATGACCTGGGTGAGAGGGTGGATTGCACCCTCAGCAAGTTTGTAAATGACAGTAAGCTAGGAGGAGAGGTAGATATAGTGGAGGGGTAGGGACAGGGTTCAGTGTGACCTAGGCAAACTGGAGGATTGGGCCAAAAGAAATCTGATGAGCTTCAACAAGGACAAGCACTGCTACAGGCTGGGGGCCGACTAAGCAGCAGTTGGACAGAAAAGGACCTGGGAATTACAGTGGATGAGAAGCTGGATATGAGTGAACAGTGTGCCCTTGCAAAGGATAATGACTATTAGGAGGAGCATTGCCAGCAGATCTAGAGAAGTGATTATTCCCCTTAATTCAGCAGTTGTGAGTCCACATCTGTAGTATTGCATCAATTCTGGACCCCCATTACAGAAAGGATGTGGACGTACTGGAAAGGGTCCAGCTGAGGGTAACGAAAATTATTAGGGGGCTGGAGCACGTGACTTACAAGGAGAGGCTGAAACATTTTAGAGGGGTAGACATATTAGTCTGTAACAGGCAAAACTTAAACAATGAATAGTCTTGCAGCACCTTATAGACTAACAAAAAATGTAGATGGTATCATGAGCTGTCGTGGGCACAACCCACTTCAGATGAATGAGGAGAAGATGAGGGATTTGGGTTTGTTTAGTCCAAAGAGAACAGTGGGGAGGAGGAAGGATTTGATAGCAGCCTTTAACTACATGAAGGGGGGTTACAAAGAGGATGGAGAGAGGCTGTTCTCAGTGGTGACAGATGTCAGAATGAGGAGCAATGGTCTCAAGTTGCAGTGAGGGAGATCTAGGTTGGATACTAGGAAAAACTTTTACTAGGAGGGTGATGAAGCACTGGAATGGAGATTCTACCACTTCCCTAGGTAACCCATCACTAGAGGTTTTTAAGTTCCGGCTTGTCCAAAGGGTTGTGACCTGGGGCAGGGGACTGGGGTATAGGAGGGGGTGCAAGGGTGTGGGCTGTGACCTTGGGCAGGGGATTAGGGTGTAAGGTCTGGGAGGAGGTAGAGATTCAGGAGGCAGACAGAGGGTTTGGCTTATGTAGGGTAGAGGAGCAGGAGCTGGGGGGTGTAGATGGTTGAGAGGAGGAAGGGGCTGGGATGCCACAGGCAGGCTTTGACTGGGAGGCTTATCTGGGTGATTCCCAGCCAGCAGCCCAGCACCTTTCTCAGGCAGCTTCCCTGTCTGCCCCGCCCCCACACAGGATGCAGGGGCCATGTGCATTGGTGAATAAGAGCCTGAGGAGAGGGGAGAATGGTTCTTCATGCTCTGCCTGTTATTCAAATAGGCAGCTCCCATTGTTCAGAAAGAGAAATAGGTGTGGTAGCTGCTTTTCTGAGCGGTTTTGGGAGGGACATGCAGGGAGTCTGCTTGAGGCTCCCCACTGCATCTGCAGGACATAATAGCTGATCATTTGTACAATTGATATTCTTTACCCATTTGATTTAATCAGAGACACTATTAGTTTTTTTGCTATTAGAATCCGTAAAAATATTAGGGATGTGAATGAGTAGTTGACTATCTGATAAGCAAATGCTTATTGGATAGTCGACATGCTAGTTGACTAGTTGCTTCCCCCTCCCTTGCTGCCTCTATCAGAAAGAAGCAGCAAGGAGGGGGAAGAGGGAGGGGTGCTTCAAGAAGTAGCCCCATGGGGAGCCCAGGGTCAACTGGGGCCTGCACCGCTGGTCCCGGGTTCCATGTGGCACTGCTGCTTTGAAATGCCATGGGGAGCCTCATGCTTGATCAGCTTGCAGTCAGTAACAGGGATGTGAATGACTAGTCAACAAATGCTTATCGGCCAGTCACACACTAGTCGACTAATCGCTCCCCCCTCCCCTCTCCCCCCCCCCCAGCCCTTCTTGTTTCAAAGCAGCAGTGCTGTGTGGAGCCTGGGGTCTGCTGCTTTGAAACACTGGCATGGAGCCCAGGGCCAGCTGGAAACTCCTGCACTGAACCTGAGCTCCATGTGGCGCTGCCACTTTGAAACACTGCAGGAAGCACAGAGCCAGTGGGGGACTGCTTGAATCAGTTACTGGCCCGTGCAGCCCACACTTTTGAAGTGTAGCAACAGTTGAGGCACCCTTATCAACTATTAAATTAGCTAATTAATCAATTTTACATCCCTAATAAATACTGCTATTTAAATGATGCACTACATAGTAAACTACATGAGCTAAGGTTGTGTTTTTAAATGGTTTTAAGAACTCTTGCACATTTGTCAGTGTATTTCACACACTTGATGATTGGAACAATATTTAATTTATATTAAACATCACTGCAAATTCAGTTTCCTTCTAAACAAATTAACTCTGAAAAGTGATCTGACTGTTTAAAGAACACTTTATTTGTTTCATTCAAAGTAATTGCACTTTGCATAACAAGGTGTGGTTACAGTTTAACTATAAAAAGAGGTTCCCTGACCCTATGTACAATAAGATGAAATTGCAATAAGATGAAAATTAAAACTGATTACTAGTGAAACTTTTAGACATGAGTGAATAGATAGAATACACCTTAGGGCAGATTCTTCCCTTAGCTAAACCACTACTGTGTTGTTGAACTGAAGGGAAATGCTGTAAAATTACCTTATCAAAAGCCTAAGATGCAAGATTTTATAGAGCAATTGCATTTTACTTTACATGAAAAGAAATCAATTCTCGCTACATGCCTGTGAGGTAGGAAAGCATTCAGAGTTCTATTTTACAGAAGTGGAAACCCAGGCAAGGAACAGTTGAAACCACAAAGGACGACTGCTGGGCAAAGCAGCAATAAGTTCTTAGCTCTCAATTCTGCATTTTCAGGCCCTTAGAGCATGTTGCCTTTCAGCTGCTTATGCAGAGAATAAAGCTGTAATCTTTTAAAGAAATGCTCTATCAAAGCTGACAGCCCCAAAATAGAATGGAGTCTGCACCACAAGCCAACACCCAAACAACTTGTATTCTATATGTCCTGTTATTAAGAAAACTCCATAAATACCACTGCCCCAGGAAAAGGTCTGCATAGTCTGAAACTGCCTTCAAGCCTTGTGTTTGTTTGGCTCTTAAATACAGAGCTGGCAGAAAGGGAGACTATGGAAGTCCTAATATCACATTTTGTTTCTTAAATACAAGTTGCAGCAAAAGCCTAGCATCTTAGGTTTGTTCTCAATCATGTGGCTGAATGGCCAAAAGTTTAAGGACCACATTCTTCCTCAGGTAGCACATATGTGCTCTCATTTTAATATCTTTTAAATATCTTGTTAACTATCTAAGTTCATTTAGCTCCTATTGGACTGCAGTCTTCATTATGAAATACATAATTTCTTCATCATCAGTTGGGGAACATCCTGAAACTCAGTGTAAAGAAAAAAAAAAGTGGTGAGAGAAAAGGAGAGACTATTATATTTCAGGTCTAGCAATCTCTGTGGTGTCTCTAAATAAAGGTATATGTACTATATTTCCATATCTATCTAAGGAAAGGTCTGAAGGGTTCAAAGTGGCTCTTTGTTTGTTTGCTTTTAAACAAACAAAGATCAGCCACTTGGTTTTTGTACTGCTCAGAAAATGCTATTTTCTTCTCTTCTGCACACCCAACCTATTCCTTGAGGAATATATTTAATATAGAACTTACAGCAGCACTTCAAGCAGCTTCAAGAACTTACTTGTCTAGTAATAGTTGAAAGATGACAGACATTTCAAATGCATTTTAGATAATGCATCTGATATCTTTCTGATACAAAACTCCTATACTCTAGCTCCCATCCACAGTGAACTCGATTGTAATTACCCTAGTTAACATCTCTTTATAGCAGTACAAGTGCTTAGGCTCTCAAGACTGGTTTTGTAAAGTCGGTGAAAGAACACAGAGGCCTGAGAAACAGCAAGACTACCCCAGTTGGAGTAACTTTTATGTTAAGAGTTGTATTCAGTGCAAAATCTCCTAAGAACACTTGCTCCAAAACATCGTAGATCTTGTATCCTTCCTTGCAATCCAGGATACCCATCAGTGCTAAATTGGTTTCAAAAAGTCTCGGTATTCCTTCAGTGCCATTGTTCATAACTGCTACTGCAAACTGTCCATTGACCAGGATTCTCTTCCATACTTCAAAATGATGGCTCTGTCAAAATAGAAGTATATTGTGGGGATTCATGTTCATTGTCCGTACATCATCATTTCTGAAACTGGAGAGCTATGGAACGTAAACATCCCTTTGTATTTACAATACTATTAATAGAAACTGTCACCACTATATAATTAATTTACATGTAAACTAGTAGTAGTACTACTTTTAAGCTGTGTGAAATCCCTGTGAGATAGATGTGATGGGAATACAGACCTGATGCAGGTGAGCAAAATATGGGCCATCTCTCTTAGCTATTAATTCCTTCAGAAAATAGAAGCAAGAGGCGCTGCTGTAGGGATTCTCTGGATTCCAGATGTTACTTATGCTGAGACTAAAAGTACCTAAGGGTATGTCTACTAGAGATATGGACGGCTAACCAGTTAACTGGTTACTGGGTAAGGATCACCCTTAATGGGAGTCGACACCTTAGAGTCGGCAGCGACAGATACGGCAGGGCAGAGGTAGGAGGGCTGCTGGCTCCCAGACCATGTGGGCTGACAGGCTGGGAATCCACAGCCTTGTGGGAGAGAGGGGAGCTGCTGGCTCCTCTGTGCAGGCTCATGGCTGGGAGTCAGCAGACTTGCATGGGGCGGAAGCCCTCCTCCACCCTCGTGTGAGGCTGCAAACTCCCAGCCCATGTGGCTGGGAGCTGGCAGTCCAGCACAGGGTGTGAAGAAGCTGGGCTGGAGCAGCCCTTCTTCTAGTACAGGGGCTGCTCCAGCCCCACAGGCTGGAAGGTCCCTACTGCCCAGCCCCATTTAATCAGAGTCAGGCTCACAGGACTACAAAATTGCAAGGTAGATGCTTGGGCTAGAATACAGGTTCTGGATCCCTCCTCTGTCATGGGGGACACAGAGCCCAGGTTCCAGCCTAAGTCCAAATGTTTATACTGCAATTGTATAGCCCTGGAGCCTGAACTCTGCAAGCCCAAGTCAGCTGACAAGGGCCAGAGGCTGGTGTGTTATTGCAGTGTAGATATACCCTTAGGTACTGAACACAGGTTCCTGACCTGAACATCTTGGTTTAAGAGGCCTACTACAGCCAGATGTAACTGTCTTAAGAAAAAACTACCTTTGTATGCTGTGTTTGGCAGCATATATCCACTCATATTTTTACATTACAACATGTGACGGGGAAGAAGCTCCCCGCACTGCCATCTGCGCCACCGCCGAGGTGCCGGGCGGCGCGGCCGGGCAGGGCCCTGGGGAAAGCGCTCG